ACACACACACACGCACATACACTAGATTTGCAAAACAAAATAAGAAAATGACTCATTGGGTGACTTAACTGTCCCAAAAAACAGTCTAAGCCATGTCCTGAATCACTTCTGTCCTGAGTGCTTTTTTTAAAATCCAATTGACAATTTTTGCCACCATGTGAAAGCGCCTGCAGCCAGAGGGAGCGCCGTGTTCCACAGCATGGAGAACAGATGGCGAGGCCGAGCAGAGATGGCCGCCTGGAAAAAAAAGAGGAGAAAAAAAGAGACTCTCACACTGAGACTCACACTGAGATCCGGCAGAACACAGCACACAGAGTCCCGATGAGAGCGATAGGGGGAGTGTGTGTCTGAGTGTGTGTATTTATGTCTGGTGAGTTGTGTCTCTGCGTGTACTTGTCAAAGCTGTTTGCATGCTCTGGTGTGTGTGATGAGGCAAACTAAGTTCGGCTGGACACCACACGAACATACACACCGTTTTTTGCAGAGCGGATAGTCGGCGCGAGCTGCTGTGCTTTTCCAGCTTTAATAAGTGTCTAATGTACTCGCCTCACTGCGAGGTCCTACAGGGCTAACAGAGCGTGGTCACAGATAAAAGACATTGATAGTTGGCTTCTACGACACATAAAAGCGAGCAGTTGAACCCAGTGCTCGCGATCCATGTTAAGCAGGTGTTTTCCACAACTGATTTATAATAAAAAAAACTCCTGGATGTCATGATGTGCTGTGGATGGGAAAAGCTTTTTAAAAGTAAGATAATAACACCTGTTGAAAACAGAAACCCAAATTAAGCAAACAGAGAGAAAATCCAACTCAAAGCAACATAGCACTACCCTGTTAAGTGCTTGGACGCATCAGAAAATGACAGGAAGGCTTAGTGACACAGTGACTTGCTGTTTGTGTACGCTTTTTCAATTTAAGACTCTGGTCTGCACTGAGGGAAAGCCCTGTCACGACTGTTTGCAAGTGGTCACCATAGCAAATTTGCATGTCAAAATTAAGTTGCATGTGAAAGCAACAGATAAGTGTGTGCTTGCTCCACAAGGAGATACAGTCATTGAGGCAATTCAATTAAAATGAACTGATTCCAAAACCGAAATTTAGATGTTATGTTTTTATGGTGGTGTGACTGAACCCTAAGAGCAAGCACAGTAATCATGCATGTTTGTTAAAATGGTCTTTATGTCCAACTAGCTTCCATCCTTGCAGTTCTATGACCGAAATACACTGCTGTGTTGTTTCGGGGGCTAAATCTACACATCACTTTGCTGATTCGAATCATTTTGTTCAGTTCATTTCATTCAAAGACATGTAGCCACTGACCGTGAAGTTAATTACTTCTTTAAGCTAAGCGGTGGAATCAATGTTTAGATGTACTTCAGTATGTACATTCAGTCTGTCTCTGGTCTGTCACATTCAGTTCAGTACAAAACTAGCCTTTACAAGCACTGTACAGAAGGTTAATAGCTCAGCCTATTATTTTTTACGACTGAGTTATCAGATTATGATTGTTTCTGTGGCTTTCGTGGTCTTTTAATAGGCTTTTAACGAGGGAGTGTATCACGGCTGAGTTAACAACGGTGCTCTCAATCACCAGTGAGGGGAGCTGCTTAAAGCTACTGATTTGGTCATCGACAATGGTGACTCAGTTTTGTCAGATCTGTTGGTTAAGACTTGTACATGTACTGCACAACTCTAGCTGTGGCAGTTTTGGGGTGTTTTTTTAAAAATGCAACCACATTAGTGTGGACATTGCCTCCTACCATTGACAAAACACTGAATTGTGCATTCATGAGCGCTTGAGTGTGTGTGGACTGTTAATACTACATGCTTGTGTGTGTGTCTGTGTATACAGTATGTTCACGTGTCTGTTCTCCATCTCTGCAACTATGCTTGTCTTGTGCCTGTTTGACAACCACTACTTTCAAAAAACAAAGGAGACACGATCATGAGTGCCTTTTGTAAAAGATTAACAACAGACCAGAGTCACAACAATAGTATTAAGCTGCACAGATAGCACCAGTCTGCTTTTATGAGGAACAACTCTTCACAATGGACAAGCGAGCTATGAGCAGTTAATAAAAAGTGAACAATAGCAGAGAGGTAGTCACAATATATCTGTGTTGTGTCAAGAACTATCTGTTTTGCATGCCATTGTCTCTTACGTGCGTCTGGTTAATAAAATATTTATTATTGTGCTCTCTAGCAGAAAGAGGTGCTATAACAGGACACCAACTGAATAAAAATGTGACCAACCTGCTACACCTTTGTCAGTATTTCCCACATTTCTAAAATTGTCTCCATGATTCAGTCTATTTACAGGAACATGTGAATAACCAGATTAAGGTAATAGTTCATTTAAAGCATTTTCATGGTTCCCAGGTTCCCAGGAATCCAATTTCCCCGGTATTCCTAGTTAATATGATGGTTTGACAGTTTAGTTAATGAAACTGTGTATAAAATTACTTTGCTTTGCATATTTTGGTACATGAAACCAGTGAAAAGAGAGCAGAATAATGTGTACTGTATGCATGCCACTGTGATTCAAAAGACGGACGTGTAAGCTAAGCCTCCAAAACAGGTTATACTTATTCTGATTTATATTAAATTTAACACATTTTTTCAATAAGATAAGATCAGTATATATATATATATTTGATGGCTGTGGAACATAGATAGATAGATAGATAGATGGATAGATAACTAAGTCCCAAGTCATGTTCAAGTCTACTAAGTACACTTAGTCCTAAAGAAGTCATTATTTGTCTGTCTGCTGTCTGCTACGTGATGCTGCTGTCATTCCAAGTCAAAAGATATGAAGGAGCTATATAAGGTACAGCATTCAGAACCACTTGAGGACCAACATCTCGGACCAAAACAAATGGACACGTCTGCCACACATTCCCCTCCTTTTGCTTTTTGCTGCTGTCAAATTCAAGACTGGACTTAATAATACATCCATTCGAATCTTGTCCCTACTTTGACCCTTTCTCAAGAAGAAAACCCAATCACATGAGTCTAGTAACAATGGACCGACTGTGTTACAGCTAATAACAGCAACTGATAGGTGCACAAAATCAGACTAGGCTTTTCTGCTGGTCTGTGCTGTTTCTTCAGGCGTGTTAAGACATGATGTTGCAAAATGTGAAAAACTTTCAAAAGCTGACAACTGTAATATAATGTTTCCTGAGGCCATAATACATTGGAAGCATTTTCAGGTACTGTACAGTCTTTTACAGTAGATAAGCAAATTCACCTGCAACTCACCTTCAGCCTTCTTTCTGTATCTTTAGATACTCCTCATCCTCATTTTCTATCACTTTGTCTCAGTGATAAATGTATTCTTGCAGTTTCTACTAATGAAAACTAAGAGCAGCACTAAACAAGGAACGAGAAACTACCCATACTTATATATATGTTATATTTTTTATGATTTCATACTATGATTGTACTGAAAAAGAGCAGCTTCTCACATCAGCACAACCATTAACTAGCATCAGTGCTCTGTCAGAGCTCTGTAACAGGACACAAATATTCTGATA